TGCACTTTCTGAAGCCATCTTCCACCTGTCCCTACCAAATGAGATAAGATGGGTGGCTGCCGAGGAGAGGACCTTTTCAGTGGTGGCACCCTCGTTGTGGAACGCCTTCTCCAGAGAAACCTGCTGGGTGCCCACATTGCAGTCATTTAGGTATCAGCTGAAGACTTTTTAACTCTCTGAAGCACTTTAATATCTTTAGATCACTGCCCTTCTGTCTCTGCTGCTTTTGCTATGAAGTTGTGCTGTGGTGGTGGTGGTGGTTTTAACTCTTCATTTTATTGTCTCCGGGTTGTATTCTATGTATTACTGTTTATATTTTGTTTTTAATCACATTTGGCTGTTATTTCTGTTACATGCAATAGATGAAGCTCTCTGGGCCATTTGCGGCAGCACTAAAAATAGAATAGAAAGCACCCATTACAATTTAGGCACCATAATATTACAACACAAAATTTAAAATCCAGATTTAAAGCCAAATTTTAAGAACTGCAATTGCTCACTATAGCTTGTCACATTACAAGACTTAGGTTCAAGTCTCCTCTGCAATACTGTCTTATTTTGTAGATTTGAAGGCTACCAGGCTGATGCTGGAGGAAAATGTAGCTAATCTGGCACGCAAAGCAGCACAGTATATCCAGGGCTCAGTGGGGCACGCATTTTCATACCGCACATATGTTGTAAATCTCTAAAATTTCCATACACCTTTTTTGTAAATATCTTAATGCTGAAGAATGAAAGCAGCTTAAAACACCGTCATCTGCGATATCCCATCCAATACCTGGAGTTGCTAAAATCCACAGTGTTATGTCTGGCAGATCTTCAATTTAGTCTGGGCCACACACATGATTCAAGTATTTATAATTTGAAATCACCTTCCCAATGCAGCAGCACTTAAAAATGTCAGCAGTGACTTGGGCATGGACCTTACCTTATGGTCTGACCAGTGTCTCATCTTGACCAGAGCTGAGACTGGCAGTGATTCCTCAGGGTCTTGGAAGAAGTTGTCCTCCCCCGCCCCCGCATCAGTTCAATTTTTCAGGTGCAAGAAACCTGACAGTGTAGACTCCCTGGAGGGCAACCTGCCTGTTGCCACCATTACTGCCTCCCAGCACTCCCTTCTTCTGTGGCTTGGAGAGGGCTTGTTAAAAAGAAAGTGGTGGACATCTTCTCACATTGTTCCTAACTTCTCTCATTCTCATGTTTGCAGAAGCTTCTGCTTTTCCCCAGAGCCCTCTGAATACTTCAGAGTATTGGGAGGATGAGAAACTTGGCAGTGCGTACAACTAGAGGTTTACTAAGGAAATATCTCAGAGCCATGTGCTGGGGAGCATGGGCATTCAGCATATGGTTCTCTCCTTCTTGTGCTGGCGTGCACTCATACATTTTGAAGTGCTGCAGTTGTGGAAAGAACATGCCATTTGCTTTTGATAGTTTGTCCAAGTGCTTGATTTAGTGCCTGTACTCTCTCAAAATCCAGTGATTGCAAGCTTGCCCAGAAGCACAGTACCGGCACTTGGGGATTTGGAACATATCTGTGAAAAACAGCAGTAGACCCCCCCTTGCCTCTCCCCTTGCAGCCTGCTTTTCCCAGAGAAAGGGCAGTCTGCAGGCAGCTGACCCATTAGGGCCAATGATTTAATGAGACGAGATCTGGGAGTGCCTGGCTGTGCTGCCACCATAGTGACTGGGTTTCAGCACAACTGGCAGAAATGATATTTCTGGGTATTTGAGTGTCTCCCTTTTGTTTTGACCCCTCGCCTTGAGGTTAATGAGTGAGCCATTTGATCTTCCCTGACATTTTGACTTCCTCCCCTCTTTCCTCTGTTATCACTGTTCTGCCTGGCGCATGGGAACAAGAGAGCTTGAAACGCAACATTAAATGATTGTTTGGCAGGAGGCAGATAGGACAAACACTCTTGTTGTCATGTTGGTGGGTGGTTTGGAAGCAAACCTGTCACCCCATTACAGCAGAATGGGTGGGATGCCAGCACATAGAAGTTCCCACTTGGAGGTGGAGCCTCAGGAAGAGAGTTCTGAGAGCACAAATGGGTGTTATCTGGAATGGCAGTGCTTGGCATAAAACGTGGCATCCTTGCAAATTGGATTGCTGATGTTGTGTCTGTGTCCAAAGATATGAGGTGGGGAGCAAAAATTCTTCAACGGGCTCCAGAAAAGTGCAGATGCTAAGTGTCATCTTTCCTGCTAAACATGCTTGTGTCACCTTTGGCTATACAAATTACATGGAGGGGCAGAGGTGCCCTTTCTGTTATTGTATTGTGATGGCTAAGCATTTTGTATTTCTGAGATGCTAGAACCAAGTGTTGAGAAGCCAGTGTCAAATGTTTGACATCATTCTGTTGAGCCAGACCCTTGGTCCTTCTAGACCAGTATCGACATGAACGGGCAGCTGCTGCCTGGTTTCAGGCACAAGTCTTCCCAGCATTACCTAGAGGTGCCAGACAATGAACTGGGGACCTCCCCGTGGTCTCTGAAAGGGAGGAGGGAGGTCACTTGCAAGTGCCAGCAAAATGTGTTCTGTTTCTTCTCTGTCTGGTGCTCATGGGGTCAGGACTTGAAAGTTTTTCCTCCTCCCCTGCTTTTAAAGAGTGCAAATGTAATTTCCTGGGTTCCTGTCCAATCAAACTGTTTTTTAATTCCATGTGACACCTTTCTAGATCTCTACGTATTGCTGTTGCATCTGGAAACTCTGATAACACAGTAGCCTTGGTCCAACGTATTAAACTTTTAACATCCTCAAGATTCAATTAATCTTATCTTTACAACTCCCAATAACTGGCAGTACTTAAGTGAAAATAACATAGTAGACCAAAGAATGTGGCATTAATCATTAGCTGCCTCATAGCCGTGTATTAGTCCTTTTCCAAATCCTTTTGTACATTTCCAGAAGGAATGGAATAGTTGGGTTTCCGTCACTCCTTCCTTTCTCCCCTCCTTTCTTCCTTTCCTTCAGATGGTGGTTAATCCCACAAAGCAGTGTTTGGGTCTGGATTAATGTGTACTTTTCTGTTTCATGTTAGTGGTGAATGGCTCAAAAAATAAAAATCCAAGATGAGCAGAACTAAATTATTTGATAATTACACAATTTAAAGGGCTATTGTTGCGGCTTTGTTCAAAAGGCTCTGGTTGACATTAATAGATTCTTCTTGTTGTGTAAGATTAACTTTTACAATTCTCCCCTTTTCTTGGAAAATTTGTGTTTTTAATCTGTTCTAAGCAGTCAGTTTAAAATCACCTTAAAATGTGAAGTTTTGAAGCTCCCTGTTATACAGGGTTTTTTATTGGCCTACCTTCTTACATTAGATTGTGAGTCTTTGATCTTTTCCAAGGGAAGAAATCACTTTGGTCTAAAGAGAATTTGGCAAATGATTTCTTTCCTTTCATTAGAATTTCTAAGATACTCTAAAACAACTGTTTTCTGAGGTTTCATGGTGGGGGCAAGATCCGAATTACCTGGTTTTTGGTACTGTGAACAGAGGCATGAGCATACATGAGAAAGAGCTACCTTTCAGCTCTTGCGGTGTTGGTGCCCTGTAGGCACCTGCACTCCACAAGGTGAAAACCAGAAAGGTTCCCTAGAAGCTAGGCAGAAAGCCCCTGCCTTGTCATGTGCCTTTTTGTGCCCTTCCACCCTGAGGCCTTTTGCCGTTGGCTGACTGTGGCAACCAATTTCCAGTAGTGTCCCTTTTTCCTCACCCAGTTTCTCTAGAAGCAGGCGAGGGCCCTTCCAGCAGCAGAGGCAGCATCTCTGGGGAGCTAAAGTCTGCTGCAGAACACACTTCTGTGGCTCAGGTGTGGTGGGTAGATGCGGGCAAGGGGATGTGGAAGGGCAAATCCTTGTGTCCCATAGGTTCCTGCAGAAGCCACCTTCTGCAGCTACATTCAGATAGACGTCTGAGCTATCCCCAGATGCTGCCCTTACCTAGCTGTCTATATAACCCCAAAACACGGAAATGGGACTGGAAAGGAAGAGTAAGATTTACATGAAGCCGGATTCTGCAGCCAGCACTACACTTAGCTGGAGTTTTCTTGCTTCTTATGGAACCACAGTATGTACTAGCTTTAACTCTTGTGGTATTTTCATGGGGTGGGGGGAGTTTAGGAGGGAACGTTTTTCCTTGATTATAGCATAGGCTACTTTAAAAAATAAATCATGTGGAAATTAGCTAAGCAGAGCCCTCTCTGCGTCTTGGGAGGTTCCCCCTGTCAGCCATAGGAAAGAAGAGGATGTGTCTAGAAAGTAACAGTGGAGGGACAAAGTGCTCCTTCTGGAGAACAACTGGCCAGTGCTGTCTTGGGTACAAAGTATGTACACAAGCATGATGCGCCTTCATGAATCACACTTTCAAGACACCTGCACTGTGTGTGTGTGACAGTGTGAACACAGCCTCAGAGCAGTTCTGCTCATGAAAGCTAACTGCTCAGAGATGTTGTGAAATCATTTCCTTGAAGCTTTTCACAGAGCATTTGGCAGGGGGCCTGTTGGGGATGCTCAAAGATACCATGTAGAGGCCTGGGGACCAGGGCCAGATTAGTTTCACTTTGCTTCCAGATTTGTGCTTTTGTGGCCCCAGATCGGAGAAAGTGTACATTCCTGCTTCTTCGCCCTGAATGGGACTGTCCCTCTGCATGCAAACTTGTCTGCAGTGTTGTTACAGGGCTGCGGACAAGAGGCAGCACTGTGTGGGGGGAGATAGCCTTGTTGTGGTGTCAAAGTACTGCAGTACCTTCTTTGAGATGGGGTTTCAAGGATGGGTCTCCAGATACAGGTGGTCTGTGGTGTGTCATCCCAGCATCCTGTATCCAGATAACTGCAGGATTGCCTGGATCAGGGGAGTGGAAGCGTGGGCAAGCAGAGAGGATATATGGCATACTTCCAGTAGCTCCACAGGAAAGATCCTGGCATGTGTTTATTGACTTATAAATAGAATCTGCCTGAGTGAGTGGGCACTACTGATGAGAACTTGTGTTTTCCTTGCCAGGTATGCCATCCCTCCAGAACATGGCAAGCGTCTGGAAAGACTGGCAAAAGGTAAGCATTTTGATGGTATGAGTCAGTGCCTAAAGCAGCTCATTTCAGATGTTGCATGATGTAGCCCCACCAGAAAAATGGCATGCATGGTGTGTATCACATGGCATGTTCATGTATGTGTTCTTCATCTATGACAGTGTTATTTATGGGTGATGTTTGACTTATGTATACTGTATGTGACACTGGGAACCATTCAAAGTCTCTGTGGCTGGATCCTTTCTCTCTCCAAGGGGGTACACTGAATATGATCCAGGGAGTACTTTGATCAGCAGATGTTAATCCAGCATTTACCCAACAAACTCTTTGTCCTGGTTTGCATGTAATGATAGTCTGGAGTATGGCTTGTTGTCTAAATCATGAATTGGTGTTCAGGCGTAGCTGTTGTTGCATGCAAAGCTGTAATATGGGTTAACTATGGATTAATAACCACAGACAACCTGGAATTTACAAACCAGTAGCAAGCGGTGAGTTCTCTGTGACATCTCTTCCCAGGTTGTGCTTGATTAACAACCATGTGCAGGGTTCACATGTTCTGACAACCCATGCATTAATCGATGGGATAGTTTATTATTTTGTAAGCCATCCCAAGATGCTAGCATCGGACAGGTTGGAAAAGCTTTTAATAAATAAAATAAATAAATATTAAAATATCACTGCAGGTTTGGCATACTGAATTTGAACCAGTTGAATATCTCCATGTAATGTTCATCCATGATCTCTCCTCAACCCCCCCCCCCACCAATGTTCTGATAAAGCTTGCCCTGCCCTGCCCTTGTGGATTGTCTGGATTTTGATGTAGCGGTCAGAATACAAGAACTGGCCTTTGAATCGAGGAGTTGGAATAGTATGCAAAGGCTTTGTGTTTAAATAGACAGCAGATAGTTTGGAAAAGTTCCAGCAGTGCCTAGCAACCTGGGTGAGATGCCAGTGCACCTGTGGTGCATCATATTGAGAGAACTGCTTGGCATACAAAACTTGCACAAAGCATTGAAGAGAAGAGAGAAGCTGAGAAGACATGTAAGAGCATCATTTGACACCTGTTTGTGTTGTCAGTGCCATGTTTTTCTGTTTGAAGCCCAAGAAGGAAGCATTTTTATAGCAGTTCCCTTAGAGGGGCAGGGGGAAACAGGTGGAAAAAACTTCCACAGCGATTTTGTTGTCAAATGCTCTGTCTCACCTGTCTGCTTAAAACCAAAAACCTCACACACCCTCATAAAGCAGTTTGTAATAGAAATTTCAGAGAGAATATTGAAGCAGCGTGTGAAATCAACCTTCTCTCCCCTGTTACAGCGCATGGTGGCATCAGTGGTCCCAATTTTCAAAAAGGGCAGTAGAAGGGACACGGGGTATTACAGACCAGTTAGCCTTACGTCCATTGTAGGAAAAACAGTGGAAAGGCTCATAATAGAGAGAGATCTAGTGGTGCTAGATATGGAAGGGAGGCTGGCAGCCACACAACATGGCTTCCGCAAAAACAGGTCCTGCCAGACAAACCTCGTGGAATTCTACGACAAGGTTTTGAGATGGCTGGATGGAGGGGATGCAGTGGATGTGGTATACCTGGATTTCAGCAAGGCCTTTGACAAAGTGCCCCATGATATCCTGGTGGAGAAACTGAGGAGTTTTGGGATACAGCAAAGCACTGTCCGGTGGATTAGGGCATGGTTGACTGACCGAAAGCAGAGGGTAACCATTAGTGGGGAATCGTCAGGATGGTGGCCAGTGACAAGCGGGGTCCCCAGGGCTCTGTCCTGGGGCCGATCCTGTTTAATCTTTTCATTAACGACATGGAAGAAGGGGTGAACAGTCTCCTGATCAAATTCGCAGACGACACTAAAACTGGAGCAGTGGCCACAACTGAGGAGCAGGTACTCCAGATCCAAAAGGATCTGGACAGACTATGA